AAAGATCTTACGAGTTTTACCCTGAGCGGTTCCTGGACAACGAAGCAAACAGGCGGATTGTATTGACATTCAGTGCCGGCGTAAGGGTGTGCCCGGGCAAAAACCTAGCATGGATAGAAATGCAATCGACGCTGGCCAATATTTTCAATAGGTACAATTTGGAGATTCCTGCCGACTCGCTGTTTACGCCTGACAGGGTTGATAATAACGGACTGCCAATTGTGATGCCCCGCATTGTTGCCATTACAACTGTGCCGCAGCATCCCGAGCGCGACTGCAATGTTTTGATTTCAATGCGGGTATGATTTCTATTATTTTATTACTTTATTACTTTATTGTTGCTTGCTGCAACCAACATTTGTTTAAAATGACAACTAAATAATAATAATAATAAGTTTACAACTATGGTTTAAAAATGCCACCAATTTTGTATAATTATTACGCGTTTAAATTATATTTAGTATTTTAGCCCACATTGCTCTAACAGTTAAATTTGTAGTTGTAGTGGCCATAAAAATATCTCCTTTATTATTTTCTATTTTGGTATCCGGTTTCTCGCATATTTGGATGAGGCGGAAAACAATTTCCCACTTGTTTTTTTCCTGCATGTAATACGTCACTTGTTTTGAAGTTGATCAATTTTTCAGCTTCAATGCATTTCAATTATAGCTTTTCTCAACATTTTTTTGTATTCTTACTTTTCTGCTCTTTATTATTTTATTTTTTAGTGCCTCAATATATTTACTTTAAGCTATTTTAAAGACAAACATGAGTCTTGTTCCGGCTTTTACAGCAGACGCCCTATTGGACCTACTCCAGCCGCTGAACGTACTCTGCGGACTTGTTGCCTACTTTTCCTGGCAAATCATCTACGCCATGTATTTATCGCCTCTGCGCCATGTCCCTGGCTCCTTGTGGTTCCGCATTTCGGGCTTCCCCATGCTGCTCTATCAACTCCGCGGCCTTGAGCCTACTCTTATGAAGCAGTTCAACCAAACGTACGGTGGCATCTTTGTGATGGGTCCATCTAGAGTGGCCATCTGCGACCCCAAAGACAGTCAAACAATCCTTTCCTCACACGCCTTTCTTAAAGACAGGATGTATAGCAACGTCGAGCTTATGGAGCCAAACATGTTTCTAACTGTCGACCCCGAATTAAACAAACAGCGCCGCAGACAGATGGGACCATCAATGAGTTTGGCAAACCTAAAGCTGATGGAGCCAGCCATTCTGGAAGCCGGACCCAAGCAGTTGTTCAACAAGTGGGACTGGAACATTGAGCAATCCACGGATGGGATAACAGCTAGGGTATTGTATCACAATGACCTTATGCTTATGGCTTTTGACATTATCAGTACGCTGGGATTCGGGCAGACTCACAGGTCGCTGACATCAGGGGATACAAAAATTACCAAATGGGTGCACAGCACTTTCATTTTAATCTTTTTCCAGTCGGTTATGCCTTTGGTCAAGACCACTCTGTTTCGTCGGTTTATTGCCAAGTCATTCTACAACGAGTTTAATGCGTTTTTTGCTTTGTGTACCAAGGCTGTCAGCGAGCGCAAAAAGCTCCTGAGTGGCCTGCAACCTAACGAGAACAAACCCAAGGATATTCTGCAGTCGTACATTGATGCTGAGGATCCCGAGTCGCGCATCCGAATGACGACCGGACAAGTGGTTACTGAGACCATTATTGGTCTGCTGGCTGGCTCGGATACCAGCTCCAACACAATGACATGGACCATTCACCTGCTTCTTATGTACCCTCAGTATCAAGCCCGGGTTGTCGAGGAAGTGCGCACGGCATTTGGCCGCAATCACATAATTAACTACAGTGAGGCCAAGGCCAGTCTTCCACTTCTAGAAGCTTGCATCTATGAATCACTGCGCTTGAACCCCGTGGCAACAAACATGCCCCGCCTCATTCCTCCTGGTGGCGCAACCTTTCAAGGCCACTTTATTCCCGGTGGCTATAACCTAACCATCAGTATCTCCGCCGTCAACACTAATCCTGCAGTGTGGGAGAAGCCTTACGAGTTTTATCCCGAGAGGTTCCTGGACAACGAAGTAAACAAGCGGGCAGTGTTAACATTCAGTGCCGGCGTAAGGGTGTGCCCGGGCAAGAACCTGGCATGGATGGAAATGCAATCGACGCTGGCCAATATTTTTAACAAGTACAATTTGATGATTCCGGCCGATTCATTGTTCAAACCGGACCTTGTCGATGACAATGGAAATCCAATACTGATGCCCCGCACTGTTGCTACTACAACTGTGCCGCAGCATCCCGAGCGTGATTGCATTGTTTTAGTTGCAAAGCGTGCATAGTTTTTAATATTTAAATACATTAATGTTGTCATTTGCTACAACCAGTTTATAAGTTTGTTTTTTAAAGCAATGACCAAATAAATTTTACAGTTAAACACAAGCGAGCAAGGAGGCAGCATTGTTGTGCACAATACAAATAGTCACAGTCAGCTATTTTGCGTTTAAATTGTTTGATCCAACTCAACCCGCCTCGTTTCCAACAGTTAAATATTTAGTTAAAATAATCTTGGCGATAGACGCCAAGCGCGCAGATGACTGTGTGAGTGAGAGTAAATTCTTGTTTATTTTTGGCTACTCCGGCTCTATTCGATATTATTTATCATACCTGTACCTTTTTATAATACATTCAATGCACAAAATACACATGCGCACTGACTTAAATGTAAGAGCTACTAGAAAAACACAGGAAATTATTTATCCGGTCTATTCATGATGCGCCATTTTACGCAATTAACCAATACGACAATATTGTAAAGAACAATTGTTATGGTTTACAACCTTTAACTATGGTTAGCAAAGATATGCCTGTATTCAAATTGCTTGTAGAAATAAAAAATTACTTTGAAGGTCGTTTCACAGTAAAATTGGAATTTTATCGGCATAAGGTTGATACAAATATAATTAAAATTACTGGGTAGACACTGCAACTCAGCCGACCGGAGCGCTGTTGCCTTTGCAGTGGGCATACAATTTTATAAATCAATAGGTAATTTAATAACCAATTTACTTGTATGTTGTAGCAGGTGCCTCTACATCGAATGACAATATGTTTTGCTTTGCAAATATTCTAAATTATAATTAGAAAACTAACTTTTTAATTAAAATATGGATATTTCAATAAAAATGAACAGTTGTAGCATCAGCTGTGCGCGTGTTGGTTATTGTTTTTATTGACTCAAGCCAAAAAAAAGGGATGAAATGGACAATTCTATAAATAAATTATTGTTAATCAATAATAAAACTATACAAGCAAATTATGACATAAATGTGTCGATTGTCAGCGGGAACAAAACAAACACAAAAAAGGGTGTATTTATACTTTTTACAGAAAAAATGTTTTTGACAAGTTTCAACATCATCCTGGTACTATTTTAGACCTTATTTTGGTCCCTTTCATTCGAACAGTCAAAATTAAAATCAAAAAAGTGTGGCACCGAGTATAGATTTCCAAAAAATGAAGCCAATAAGCCCAATAAAACAAACCCTAGATGTAGTACAGTGCAGAAATCGCAAAATTTGTGGTCCTTAGATTACAAAGAGAAATGCTTTTAATCCACAATCTGTGGATCGCTCAGTATAAAACATTTGTAAATGCGTAACCCTTTTTGAAAATATTGGAAAATTGGGCAATATCTGGTAGGAAATGATAGGAGCGGAGAATATATCTCCTCCGCCTTCACAGGTTTGTAGATAGACGCCGCCCTTTCTTTACCCCAGTTGGGTAAACAATCTTCATTGCTGTTGCACAGTAAACTGAAAAAGGCGAGGCAATCCAAATCATGATTTTTTAGATTATGTTGGGCTGCTTAATAAATATGTATATACGTGATATGTTTATATTGTGCAAAGCGAAGGAATAATCACCAGTGAAACCAGTAAATATAAATTTTAATTTTGACAAAGATATATATGACAGCAAGAATGCAATCCATCCTTATGTTAGGGGCGGAGCAGGGTCGGGCATTTAAATTGCAGATGCAAATTATTACAAAATTAGCAATGAATAACCATGATTTTACCAGACAAATTGGTGTTACGCAGCTCGAGGATATGGAGGTAGACGCTGAGGGCGAAAATCATGAGACAGATTCTCGTCAGCTCACAGATGGATCTGATATGGGCCAAATCACAGGGGATCAGATTAGGGGCCACAATTGACATCCAGACATACTGCCTGTCCCGAAATGGATGTGCTGGGCGCAAGAATACAGATATGCCAATTATGCCATATCAGAGACCCGGGTTACTTTCATAAGGACCAGTTCTCGCAAATGGAGCACACGACTCCCAGTGAGTGCCACAAAGACAAGGAGATATATATAAGGCGAGGCCGGCGATAATAGCACTTTAGAAACACTAGTAATAAAAAACCTTTATAATTTAACACCCATTCTTTTAACACTATTACAGTAGTGCTTCCCACACCCCCTCTTACATAACATTGGTATGCATAAAACCATTTCACATTGCAAAATCGATTAACAAAACGCGCAGATATGCTTAATAAAATTACCGGTATATGGTTTAGGAAGACTAATTTATATAAATCACTTTTCTTTGTTAAAATCAAAACCTTGTAAAAGCCAATGCCAAGCTGTGTGGAATATGCAGTATTTGAAAGATTTATGCGCATTGATTTTGCAAAAAATATTTTGTTATTTTTTCCTTCTGTGGCCCCGTTTTGTTTATCCTTATGCTTTATCAATTGTATGATTTTTGTACCAAGAAAATAGTTACCAGCTTGCTCGCTACTTCTTACCTACCCTTGCACTTGGATAAAGAGGAAATGACTATTTTTGTTTAAATATAAACCAGACATCCCGAACATTAGTCACTTTAATATTTTTTATTTTTCTGTATCACGACTCACTCATTTTTTTTACCTCACCAAGTGTATTATTTTTATTTTATTTTACCACTTTATTACCATAAAAAATATTTGCTCATTAACCATGAGTATTATTCCTGCTGCTTTGGTAGGATCCCTGTGGGTGCTTCTGCGGCCACTAAACATCAGCATCGCCTTTGGCGCCTACATCGGTTGGCAAGTAATCTACGCCCCGTACTTTTCACCGCTGCGTAAAGCTTCCTGGGCCCTTCCTGGCGCGCATCTCCAGCCCCCCTTTTTCTTCCTCCAAGTCCACTGTGCCGAGCATGCACTAATGATGAAGCACAATCAGATCTACGGCAGTCTTTTTATTATGAGCCCGCATCGAGTGACAATCTGCGATCTCAAGAACAGCTCTACAATTCTAGGCACCTATACCTTCCTCAAGGACCACATGTATCAGAAGATCAAGATGGTGGGCTCAAACACATTTTTGATTGCCAATCCAGAGCTTAACAATTAGAGACGGAGGCAGATTGGTCCGTCCATGAGCTTGAATAACTTGAAGCCAGATGGAGCTAATTATTTTAGACTCTGGACCGCGGCAGCCGATTGAGAAGTGGGATAAGGCTAAAGAAAGAAAAAAAGGAAAGAAGGCGCGGATCTGGTACCACAATGACCTTTATGCTGATGGTATTTGCCATTATCGGGTCACTCGGGTTCGGACAAATGCACAGGTGCTTGACCTCTCGCAAAACGCAGATTGTCGATTGGGTGCATAGCACCCATTTTCCTGTAGTCCATCATGCTCCTTGTCAACGGCAAGTTCTTCTAAAGGTACATCTACAGGACCTACCACGAGGATTTTGACAATTTCCTTGCTCTGTGTAACTCAGCCACCAACACGCCCTGTCTCATTCTTCCTGGCAGCACCACCCCCAAGCCCATTTCATCCCCGGCGGCTACAACCTGACCAATCTGCATTTCGGCAAGCAACACTAATCCCACCAGTCTGGGAAGTACCCTATGAGTTCTACCCTGACCGTTTCGTCGATAATGAGCCACTGAAGAGACTGTCCCTGATATTCAGCAATGGTTTGTGGATTTGTTCCGGGAGAAATTTGGCGTGGATGGAGATTTTTTTGCCACGCTGGCGAATGTCTTTAATCGGTATAATTTGGAGCTGCCTGGGGACTCGCTGTTTAAGCCGAATATTGTCGATAAGAACGGTTTGCTGATTTTGATGCCGAGTACGGTTGCCATTACCACTGTATCGCTGTACCCCTCGAGCGGGATACCATTGTTGTGGCGTCACTGCGCAAGTAAATGCTTCTGTTTTTTGTTTTATTTTCAAACAAACTTTTTATTGTATAATAACCAAACCAAACCAAAAAATAATAATATGTAATTGGAAATTATCAAGGTATTTCATGCATACATTTATATATCATTTATTTATTTGTTATAAATGCTATATTAAAATTCAACAGTCTTATTCTCCATGCTTGAGCATCTGCACAAACTCACGGTACTTCAAATATCCATCTGGTGTAATCGGCGCATGTTTAAACATAATATCCACGTCCTTCTTCGTAAACCTATCCCCCATCTGCATCAAAGCGTCTCTCAAATCCGCCGACGAAATCAACCCATTCCCATCCAAATCAAAGGCCTCAAAAGCCGACAATATCTCACTCTCCGGATCCGTCCCACTAAGATGCTCACCCATCAAGGTCAAAAACATTGTAAAATTAATAGGCCCTGGAGCCTCATTAACCATGGCATCTATGTAGCTGTCGGATACGTTTTGGCCTAGGGAACTGAGCATTTCGCGGAGATCGTCGCGGTCTACGATGTTGTCTGAGTTGTGATCAAAGATCCCAAAGGCCTCTTTGAATTCGGATATTTGCTTTTGGTCGAATATCGCAAAGACGTTGGAGTTTTGACGGGCGGCGCGCTTCTTCTTGTTTAGGTTTTTGTATCTGACATTTCTAAAGAAAATAAATTGTAGAGTAAATAAATGAGAGAATAAAAGTGGATTGCGAGAAAGAAGAAAAAAGAAGGGGGGTAAGAGTACAAAAATAAATAAGAGTAGTAGGAAAGGAATAACAAAAGAAAGAGTTGTTTTTTTTTCTTTTTTTTTTGGCACTGCGATGGGTCTGGCTTTAATTTTTTTGGCACAGGTGACAAAGCAAATAGTGTAAACACAAACGAGCCAATCAAGAAGAAAAGGGAAGAGTTTCGCTTTGCGTATGACATACGCGCGTAATCTCGAGTGGGCCAAAAAAAAGACCAGAATGTAAAATGATGATCACTTCAAATAAAAAATTTATTCCCTTTTTTTTCTTGGCTCACTCGTCTTTTCAGTTTACATTCACATTTACATTTTCAATTCCAACAATTCCAAGAAATGCCAGGACATGCAACACTTTCACAAATCAACCGCTTTCCAAACATGGGCGTTTCGGACATAGGCTTGGTGAGGCAGACTCTACTCAACAGACTCTACGGCCGCACCCAGCCATCAACACTAGTCGGTTTGTCCCACGCAGCTCTCCTCGATCCACTCACTCCTACACCGCACAGTGGCAAACCTAGAAGGCAACTCGGTTCTGCTCATAGGCCCACGCGGCAGCGGCAAAAGCACTCTGATCCAAAAGGCGCTCTCCCTCCTCCACCACCACAAACC